TATATAAGTACGTGTTACTTTGGGGAAAAATCCTTGACAAATCACAATAATTGGTCGAATCATAGCCATCAAAATCCCAATCCGTGAATGCCACGAGGGGCAATCATGGAGTTCCTCGTGTGAGTCACATATTAATATTCAAACACCTATCTGCCGACAACTAAAGTTGAAGACAGATATTAGGTAAGGAAAAGAGGGTTTTAGCCATTGCCAATGCAGCTACGTGCATATGCTCTATTATCAGTTTCGAAATGGCCTCGCCATTTTAAGAATGGAAGATTCGACTCTTTTGAGTTATCGAAAGTAGTAACATGTATTTATGGTTGGGATTCAATAGGAATTTTGACCTTAAAGGAGATTTTTAGATGATGAGATATTTTGTTCAAATGTTACACGATAATGTAACGGTCTTGACAATTTAGCTCTGGTTTGGTGGAGATTAAAATCAGATTTTTTGTAAATTTTGATAAAAGTTGATGAAATGTGTGATTGAAAAGTTGTGGATCTTATGAAATGTGTGGTTAATAATTAATTATTAACTTTGACTTAAATTTAAACCTTGATATTAATCCCTACCAAATAGGGACTTATTTTCAAAGATAAACTATATTGTTGTATATGAACAATATCGTCAAATTTGTACTTTAATGAGTGGGTACAAGATGGGGTAACTTATGACATGAGTTCTAACGGGTGATTATTGAACTTTAAAAAGTTACATAGTTGATTATTAAGTTATATAAAAATTAAATTATTAATTTATATAAAAATTATCTCCTTACACTTTATATCAACTTGACTTGTCACCAATATGTATAATGATTGTTCAATATTTCTAATTATTATAGCAATTGCAACTCGAACATTCTTTTATAGTTTCTTCGTTATACGATCACAAAATTGATGATTTGAACCTCAAATACAGAGCTTAGAATTGTAGTATTCTTCATAGAAATACTCAAATTGACTCACTAGCCTATTGAATAAGATGATAAATTCTTAATGTGAATACGATTAACTTCTTCGATTCCTATTAGCTCACAAGATATTGAGATACTGAGTGTAATAAATTAATATTGATTGTCGTCTATACACTCCCGAACCGGTATTAAAAAATAACTTACCTAGTTACAAAGACAAACAATGAGTCCAAATTTAGTCATGCTTTGATCTAACCCACTAAGTGACTTAGTCCTATTGATAGAATTTAATTAGTACTAAGAATTCACTCTTCTTTCAAATTCAAAAATCTTGAAAGAAATCAA